CACCCAGAGACTAACTTCCTTCTAGCGTCACCATAGAGGTCCTAGATGCTGTTTTTATTCGGGTTGGTAGCTGTGTTTCAGACATGGGGCTCCCAGCTCCCCAGCTTGTGAGAACTCCGCTGCCCTCTCCATAGCTCACATTCCTTGTATGCTTATGTGGCTGCATCGAGCATCTTGGACTGGTCTTAGATCCGCACACTTGTTCATTTTAAACTATTTGCATGCTGCTCCTGCATTTAGCCTCTCTTTCCCCCTGTTTCCTAGGCTGGGAAAGAAAGAAAACAGTTTTACTTTTGTAGAAGTACCAGGAAAAGTTAAAAAACTTGGCCAGTACTCTTGCTAGTGACAGATAAATAAATTAAACCACATTTCTCAGCCTGGTTATAGTATAATTATGATTTTTTCCCAATTACTTACGTGTCATACTCTATATCACATTTATACCCTTATTCATTCAAAAACATTTATCAAGCATGTGCTGAGCCAGGCACTGTGCTAGGTGCTGCAGATACAGATGTGACTAACTGTCCCTGCCCTTGAGGAACTCTCGGTGCAGTGAGACAGACAGACATGTAGACCGATGGTTTAGTGAGTGCGTGATAGACGTGATCAGGGAATCAAGGAGCACTGAGAGGGCAGTAGTGGGAGGGGAAGAGTGTGGTGAGCACATGCCTCCTCCAGAGCTGACTCCTAAGCTAAGTCAAAAAGGGTCTTGAGTCCTTGGTCAGGATACAGAAGTGGGAGAAGGCAGGTAAGGAGAGTACTCTGGCAGAGGAGAGGGCTTGAGCAAGGGTATGGAAGTGAGGACAGAATGCTGAGTCTCCTGAGATCTAGAAATAGCTCACTGTTGCTAGGCTATAAAGTTTGACGTAGAAAAGACAAAGGAGGAATCTAAGAAAGAGAGGCAGATTTTGAATGATCTTGGATGCTCTGTAAAGAATTTGAACTCTAGTTATTGGGAGACATGGGAAGGTCTTAGGCAAGTAGTGATGTGATAAGATTTTAATTTTGGATCCATTCCTCTATGGAAGATGGGTCTGAGGAGCTCAAGACTAGAGGCAAGAAGAACCTGTTAGGAAGTTACTGTAAGCAGGTAGGCAGGTAATCATGAAAGGCAGATCTGGGACAATGGTATAGGGATAAAGAGGAGAGCACTGATCAGAGATATTTAGGAGGAAAAATCTGTAGGACTTGGTGATGCATTCAATTTTGAAGATGACCCAGATGATTCCCAAGCTTCTGACTTGGGTGACTTTATGATGATAACACCATCAGCTGTATTTCATAGAACTGTCTAGAACCCTGAACCCTTTACAAAGTTAAATAGGATATGTGGAATTTTCCTTATCTATACCATTTTAGTCTTGTTCCATTTATTTTTGCTGGAGACAAAAAAAGATTTTTAAAAAATAAATTTAATACTGCAACCATGTCCTATAACCAAACATTTACTCTCCTTATTTGCCTGCTCCTGCTTCAAGATGGACAAACAAGGAAAATGTGCCTAAGAATGTATTTACAATAAGATGTCCTACATATAATTAATTTGTCACTGTTTGAAGTTACTGAGGAAAATTGCCCCACCTCAGCAATGAATTTAAGACATTTGTATTAGCTTTGTGGTCAGATAATATCCATTGCTCTCTACTCCTCATTTGTGCCTCTGCAATCCAATTGATCAGAGATTCTCAACTCACATTCTGGTGTGTTATAAATATACATGGGTAAAAACAACTTCAAGTCATAAATGCTTTATTTTAATATGAATAAAAATGTTTAGAATTTAGAAAATTTTGGAAATTATTGCTAATAGATAGGGAATTGTTTAGAAATGAACTAAATAGGCTATATATACTAGAGATATAGATATTTTTGGAAGGGAAAAGTTAACCTATGCTAACATGATATTTAAAAGACATGAATATAATACAAATTACCCGTGTAGATATTTGAATTAGAGTCCATCTTTGTAGAAGTGCCCATTTGTTGAGGGAACCAGCTCTCTACAGTTATAACTATATAATGGCAAATATAACTATTCACCAATGGGCAGGAAAGAGCTGCTCAAGTGCATCTCAAGCACAAGTGGCAGAAGGAATTAGAAAAGGAATAAAAAATGTAATAATTTTTGCTTATTTTTGCCCTATAGTGGAAGAGAAGACTGAGTGCTTTTTACAGCATATTTTTACCTGAGGACCTTTAGGAGTAGAGTTGGTTTTCTAAAAAAGTTTCTAACAATTTCTTTGGTGGAGGAGAAGTCAGAAGGAGTTTGTAAATATTTGTGTTCCTTTAATTCCTCTGGTTTGTTTGTTTCTAAATTTGTCTAGATTTATATCACCTTGGAACACCTGACAGATAGGATATTTCCTTATACCTGTGTTTCAGAATAAGGAAGTCTTGTTGAATAATAGTAACAGCACCAGCTAGAATCTATTACTGCTTTCTATGTGCTAGACCCTGTGCTAAGCATCTTATAAGCAGTGGCTTAGAACAGTTAACTGACTAGCTCATAGCCATGCATCTGCTAAGTCACTAACCCAGGGATAGAATCCAGGTCATTGGCATCCAAGTTTTGTTTTTAACCAGTTCTAGAGTTATTTGGAACTGGGACTGAAATCTGAAACAGTCTTGACATTGGATTATAGAGGTGGCCACGCACTCAAGAGACTCATGGCTCTGCTGGAAGTCATGGGGAGATTCAGCAGTCCTGAGAACTGTTGGGGAAATAGTATAATCTGGTTTACCATTTTCAAAATGTATAGGAAAGTTATATAACACTAAATGCATACATTTGAAAAGAGGAAGTCTCAAATCAACACACTAAACTCCAACCTCAAGAAATGAGAAAAAAAGAGAGAGAGAGAAAAATAAACCCAGAGCAAGCAGAAGGAAGGAACTAATAAAGAGCAGAAATCAATGACATTGAAAAAAAAGAAAAACAGAGAAAATTAAAGAGACAAAAAGCTGGCTCTTTGAAAAGATCAATAAAACTGACCAACCTCTAGCAAAGCTGACAACAAAAAAATGAGAGAAGTCACAAATTACTAATATCAGGAATTGAACAGAGGATATCACTACAGACCCTGCAGACATCAAAAGGAAAATGAGGGACTACTATGAACAACTCTACACACATAGATTTGACAATTTAGATGAAATGGACCAATTCCTTGAAGAGTACAAACCACCACAACTCACACAGTGTGAAACAGATAATTTGAATAGTCCTATAACTGTTATGAAAATTAAATTCATAGTTTAAAACTTCCAGAAAAAGAATTCTGCAGGCCCATATGGCTTCACTTGTGAATTCTACCAAACTTTTAAAGAATAACACCAATTCTGTACAATCTTTTCCAGAAAAATAAAAGAGAACACTTTCCAATTCAGTCTATGAAGGCAGTATTACTCAGATACTCAAACCAGACAACTATAATGCATAAAAAGAAAACTACACACCAATATCTCTCGTGTGGATACAAAAACTCTTAAAATAGAATTCAGCCATATGTAAAAAGAATTATACACCATAAACAAATAGGGTTTATTTCAGAAATGCAAGGCTGGGTCAATATTTGAAAATCAATCAGTGTATTCCATCATATGAAAAGGCTACAGGATATTTGGAATGCTTAGAAAAATGTTTTTGATGGCCATGCATCCCTATGGGGGCGGGGGACAGACACGACTAACACCTATGGAGCACCTGATGAGGAAGAACCCTGCTGACTCCCTGGGAGGATGACCTACACGTGCAACCTGCTGTGTAGTCCTTTTTGGAATTACCTACCATTGCTGAAAAGGGCCTTAATTAATATCAGATGACTTTTTATTTTTATTTTTTATTTTTACTTTTTTGTAAGGAAGATCAGCCCTGAGCTAACATCCATGCTAATCCTCCTCTTTTTGCTGAGGAAGACTAGCTCTGAGCTAACATCTATTGCCAATCCTCCTCCTTCCCCCCACCCCACCCAAAGCCCCAGTAGATAGTTGCATGTGTAGTTGCACATCCTTCTAGTTGCTGTATGTGGGACACAGCCTCAGCATGGCCAGAGAAGCAGTGCCTTGTGCGCAGCCGGGATCCGAACCTGGGCCGCCAGTGGTGGAGCAGGCGCACTTAACCGCTAAGCCACAGGCCGGCCCTCGGATGACTTTTTAATAGGCTGGAATTTTCCCGTTTTTTTTTTTCCTTCAAACATTTGTAAATCTTCCTATGAGTGCCTAGCTGGGTAGGTACTCTCGCAGGCTCTATTCCAAGTGCCGTCAGTCATTTAGGATTTACCTTAAACAACACAGTGTTGAGAAAAGATAGAGAAGACACTAATACAAGGACTCGCCTCAGCAGAGAAGTACTTCAGGTTACGGGAATCGAGTTTTTGCTTTTTACAGAACACATCATTTCCCCGGGTTTGTGTCCTCTGTGAGAACTGGGCGATCCGGGGTGGGTGGGGGTAGTCAAGCAGAACTAGACAGTGTGCTCTGGGCGGCACCCTCGAGGCTAAGGGACGGCGCTGCGCGTGCAGCGTCCACGTGGCTCGTTGAGGCCCCGTGTCACGCTGTTTACCCGAGACTCGCAGCGGAACGACTTTGTTACAAATTAACGTCCAGGGCTGGCTGACCCCCCTTGTTGCGCAATCGCGATTTTGATGTTACGGTCGCTGTCCCGCACAGGTGGACTTCTGCGCCGGCCTCAAGGGACTCACCTTTGACCGCGCCCCCACCGCGCCTACCCTTCTCACGCACACCCGACACCCCCGGCGCCCCAGCGCCCCGCCGCTTTCTGCGCAGACGCAAGCCCCGCCCCGCCCTCCGCGCACTCCCACAGCCGGGATTATGAAAGGCATCTTCTGCAGCCAATTAACACCCGCGCGCTGGGCGGGGCGCGCTGGGACTGGCGGATGGTGTCGGCCAGGGGCGCGCCTCTAGAGTGACACGAATTCTGGCCAATCATCGGAGGCCCTGCGCCGGCCGCCCCCTCCGCGGCGCCGGCCGCCCTGCCCCCGGCGTGGGGCCCGGACTCGGGGAATGTCCCGGGCCGGGCTCGCTGAGACCAGCGGTGTGCTCTGTCCGGGTCGGCTGGTGTCTGCAGGGCCTGAGGCTCGCCGCGTTCCGAAATGGCCGAGCAGTCGGACAAGGCCGTGAAGTACTACACCCTGGAAGAGATCCAGAAGCACAACCACAGCAAGAGCACCTGGCTGATCCTGCATCACAAGGTGTACGATTTGACCAAGTTTTTGGAGGAGGTGAGGTGGTGAGGCGCGACGCCTGCCGGGGTTTGGGGGTTCCTTGCTGTGACCTGCCGTTCGCAGCGCGGCGGGGCTGACGTGCGCGGCTCTGTGTGCGCACCCCGCCCGGCACACCTGGGAGCGCTCCCTGCGTCTGCACACCCCTGTGTGCGCACCTGTCTGCACACCTAGGAGCAATCTCCGCGTCTGCACGCCTGTGTCTGCGTGTGCTCCCCGAGTCTACACCTGTGCGTGCACACCTGGGAGCTCCCCCTGAGTTCGCACCCGTGGGTGTGTGTGTGTGTGTACGTGTACGTACGCACACCTGAGAGCGCTCCCACGTCTGCGCTCCTGCGCGTGCCCCCCCGGAGTCCGCACACCAGTGCATGCACACCTGGGAGCGCCCCGGCCAGCATAGCGGCTGGGTGAGCCATTTTTGCAGCCCGCGGCGTGCCGGTAGGGCGGGAGCTGCCTCCAGAGACCCTGCGAGGGGCGTGTGGGACAGCATTGCCTAGCACTTACTGGGAAGCACATCGCGTCTGGAGCTGCTTTCCTGGGAGAGGGCTCAGCTACGGAAGGATTTTGAAAGATCTCCTTTATCCTTGAGTTTGCATAGACGAGGTCTCCGCCTAGGATAAGGGTTGTCCTACTTCTGTTATTCCGGGAGTGGATTCCTATGGGATCCCACGAGAGGGGACTCTGGGTTCGGAGGTTGGGGTGTGATCCACACGCGCTCTCCTCTGTTCACCTAGAAGGAGCACGGTGGTGGTTGACCGCATCCAGGAAGGACTTCGTAGCGAGGGTCAGTGCTGGACTCTTGGGATTGAGAAGTCAACCCCGCGATGTGAGTGAGGCTTTGATGAAGTAGGAGGGAAGAGGGATAGAATAGTAAAAAGTGCCAGTGGGACTTGATCCTTAAGCAACTTTGGGACTTGTAAAATAACTTTGCTTGACTTAAAGGGAAACATTCCTTTGATAAGATTCTTTGCGTTAGGTTATAACTTTTGAAGTTCTAGGGCCTTTTCTTTGCTATCTCTGGATGTGTTTTATCCCTGTGGGGGAGTTTGAATCATAAATCTTAATACAACACTTACCCTCCTTCATCCTCCAGACAATAAATGAGCATGTTTAGTGATGGGAATTCTTTATATAGTTTGAGGGGAAAACGAAAATTAGAGGCCTGGTCTTAGCTAGACCACAATTTATGTCAAGGGACTTTTGTTTTGCAGAGAATTTTTTTTTTAAAAAGGTTGGAGTTGATGCTTGTTAGTATTATTAGTAAGATATTTTACTATGAAACTGTCATTTGGTGGAGCGCCAGAAGATAAAATAGTGTCCTGATTTAGTTAGGAGTGGTTTGTAGTAGGAAGTCAGATCTGATCTGTCCTGTCCCTTCTGCTGAACTTATTTACCGTTAGAGTTTTTTGAACCAACAACACTGCATCATAACATCAGGTCTAATTGACACCAAATTTCTGCTTGTAACTCTTCCTTCCCTCCCCCTATGGTATATGTGATTCTGGAATTTTAAGATCCAGTGTGTGCTTTATTTGCGTCTTTAACAAAAAACAGTATTTATAAAAGAATAATAGGACATTTTATATTATAAAGCATATTTCCTTTTTTCGTTTTTTTGTGGGTCTGTCCTATGCATTTTGTTGTACAGGAGGCCTCCCTGGCTTCCCCCCACCAGATGTCAGTAGCACTGGCCCCCCAGTTGTGACAACCAAAAAGGTCTTCAGATATTGCAAATGTCCCCTGTGGGACAAAAATCACTCCTAGTTGAGAATCACTGTCCTAAAATGTATTCTGCATAACTTTTAAGGGTAAATTTTTCCCAAAGAGATAATAAGGAAGAGAAGATTGTTAAACTTTACTATAAACCATGTACTTTTACGTTTCTTTCTTAAGAGGCAGGAAAAGGGGAATTGCACAGTTTTCTAAGTAAAGCTGGAAGAGATGGGAAACAATCTGTGCAGTGGGTAAGTTAGCTAACGACAGTTTCCCTCAGTCTTTCTCAGTTTTAAATACTTTCTCTTTGAAAATAGCATGGGGAGAACTCCTCTCACGTAAAATGAGATGAAATGAGTTCCTCATTAATATTTGATAACTAATACTTATAGCGAGATAACTAAAAACTACTATTTATAGTGAGAAATAAAATGTTTACAGCAGCTCCTGTAAGCTTTACTTTTCTGTTTGTACTTGGTAAAATGCTCCTGTAACAGCCGACCTGTGACTTGAGTGTGGGGCCTCCCTGCTCTCTGGTATTCACGCCCTTCCTTTTGATCAGTCCATCCAGTATCTGTTGAGCTCTCCTTGTAGTGAGGACTGTGGAACCCGAGAGGAAGAGACATTTCTATTCGCAGAAGCTTCCGTTAGAGGAAGCAGGAATAAGACAGAAAGCTATGCTGTGGGCAGGAAGGATGACACAGGAAGCTGTGAGTCTGAATGGAGTCTAGTTCAGCAGTCAGGAGTGGACCAGAGGGCAGTGTGAGGCGTCAGGCGTGGACTCCGGTAAATAGAGCCTGAAGTCAGCGATGGCAGGAGTGGAAAGGATGGGACCTGCTTTGCTCGCAGAGTGGGGCGGGGATTAAGGTAGAAGAGGAGGGTGGCTGCAACTTTGAACTGACCGACTAGAAGGCTGACAGCATGCAGTGAGGAGCAGGCTTGCCAACCGGTTGCTCTAGCTGGTCAGCCTTCTCAGAACATCCTGATTCCACTCTTTTGGGACATGTTTTCCATTAGCCGTTTTTACTTTCTGCGACCATCTCTGCTAACGGAGTGTCCTGGTCTTGGGTTTCCCTCCCCCAGCAGGGCCATCCCAGGATTCCCTACAGGCGACTTCCTGCATCTTAAACAAACACAAACCTTCTCATTCAGAGAGCTTCTGCGGGATGCTGTGTCAGAGGTTTTACTCTGTCCTAGATCCCTCCTGTTCCCGTTACTGTGTTAGGCTGGTGCTGTTTGTCTCATCCCTACTTTTGAAACACAAAGGAGCCCAGAAGGTCTCTCTTCCTCCCTTGCCAAAGCTCCGGAAATTAGTTAAATTGCATGTTAACTGAACAATGGTCTACTTTCCCTAATTTACCTGAGTATGAACTTTTTTTTTTTTTGGTCTTCTTACCTCTCAAAAGAACCTTCAGTTATTCTGGGCTAGATCTCATTATACCAGGAATTCACTCATCCATATGGACAACATGATTTTTCATGGCTTCTTTCAGTATATCAGAGATTTATATGCATGTCTGCATTCATGTTGAGAAAATATATACTGTGATGGGTGGAAGAGGGTCCTGGTCTGCCACTGACACTTTACGCCTCAAATGCCTTATTTAAGGTAAAATGGGAGGAGGTTAATAGTGCCTACTTCACGGGGTTATTATAATAAACCAAATAATGCTGGTTAAACACATAACATGATGGCAGCCATATGGTCCATGCACAGTAAATGCAAACTCCTACACTAGTATGGGGCCGGGTGGGGTGGTGGCTTTCTTTCTATAGCATCGTATGTAGCTGAGTGCTAATATGAGATTTTAGGTAGAGGTGTAAATTTGACAGATGATATTGAAACAAAAGAGTATTATAAAAATTATAGCCTCCAGTCAACACAGGTGAAGTTTGTAAGTTGTGCAATGAGCTCCATGTCCTGAAATAATGGCCTTATAAAGCTGTTTTGTTATTCAAGAGGAAGTTTGACACCTGAGAGGGAAGGCTGGCTCATTATTAACGGCAAGCTAAGGAGCACCAGGTGTTTAGTTACTCTGATACTGACCTACAAGATTATGAGCCTTGTTGCCTACATATTTTGAACTCGATTTTTTTTGCTTTTCAATCCTGAGTTCTAGTTTTTGAATTTATATTTGTGAAGTTGAGTCTTGTCATATCTGATTATATTATTAGTAGGGTTATTGATTATAGAACATTGAGGTACAGTTATTTGAAATGAAAATGTAAACATTTGGGGCCAGGAAGAAAAGTGATTTGCTTTTCCCTTTCTGTGATTTGGGTGGCAGCATTTATTCAGTTTTTAAAAGAGCTGTGGAAGGCGAGAAGGAAGTATCACATAATTGATGACAATCATATAACTTGCTTTCAGAGTCAGTGGATGTTTAACTCATGAAATAGATAATCTTCCTGAAAAATGTTATGAAGCAGGATGCCTTTGTGTCACGTTGCTCCACTGCTTTCCACGATCAGAATGGAAACTTGTTTCTGTAGAACATTTTCTGATGATCCTGGGATCCTGATGCTCTGTATCTGTGTCTTGGATGCTCGTTAACAGCATTCTGCCTCTCCAAGCTATTGGCTCCTGACTCACTTTTGCTTTTAGAGTCTTAGGCAGTGTTCTTTATAGCAGGTTTTGTTGTAGGGACTTACTTTTTATTTTCCTTGAACATGACTGCCTACTTTGTAGAGACCAGTGGTTCCAAGCCTGGGGAACCTCAGTGCCCTGGGGATCCGGGAAGAGAGTGTGGGTGCTTGAAACTCAGTGTCTTAATTCTGAAAAACACAGAGGACCATGTATCTTGACCCTTGATAGGGCTGCCATATTTAGGGCTAAAATCCTAAATGTGTTTGCTTTTTTCAAGGAAGTTTGATAATATTCCAAATCTCATACTACTAAAAGCTGTGGTTGCAAATATGTCTTTGAGGAATGTAAAATGGGAACATTATTAATTATTAACATATGTAGTTTGGTAAATAAAACTTAGAAAATGTGAAATCCATAGGAGGAAAATACAAAGGCATCCGTGGTGGTCAAGGTGGCTCAGGCGTCTTGGGTAAACAGGTGGCAGAGCCACATCTCACAAGGCCACCCGGGAAATGTGAGCCCGTGGGCAGGACCTCTTTTATATATTTCTGCAGATTTTTTTTTCGTAACCTTTGCTAGTTTTGAGAAGAGGTTCCAAGAGTGCTTGAGGCTACTTTGTTTTGAAACAGAAAAAAATGAAACCACTCGAGATTAACTTTTCTTTATTGTTTATCTTTAAGGTGGATGGAAATTCTAAAGA